GAAAATTAAAGCTGTAACATTTGGGCATCTCACTTTTTTTTTTTTTTTTTTTGGTCGGTCGTGGGGCTTGAACTCTGGGCCTGGGCACTGTCCCTTAGCTCTTCAGCTCAAGGCGAGCACTCCGGTTTTCTGGTGGTTTATTGGAGATAGGAGTCTCATGGTCTCTCCTGCCCGGGCTGGCTTTGAACTGTGATCCTCAGATCTCAGCCTCCTGAGTAGCTAGGATTACAGGCGTGAGCCACCAGCGCCCGGCAGGGCATCTCACATTTTTTTGACATGGGTTTGAACTCAAGGCCTTATGCTTACTAGAAAGATGCTCTGCCACTTGAGCAATGTCCCCATTCCTAGTTTTTCCTCATTATTTGAAATGAAAATAAGACTCTTTGATTCATAGTGTTACTTGGCATTTTGCATCTGTGTGAAATAATCTAATATTACATTTGGTATGTAATAATGATCATAATAATTGCTTAAGCATATTAGTGCTTTTTATATGCCATGTACTGGACAAATCTTTTAAATACATTATCTCAGTTCTTACAGAAAACTTTTAGAGGGGAAAGTTCTATTATTGTTCTCAATTTAAATATAGGAACTCTGAGGTTTAGAAAGTTAAATCATTTGATCAGCATCTAGTGAAAGAGATGGGATTCATGATCACCTTTTTACATTTATACCAGTACATTAGGACTCTCAAAATAGCATTGTTCATTGAGTCTTAGGATTACTTAGTCCTAATAGTTAATTATTCTTTTAAATTCATCTCATTAGGAATATAGGTCGAGCTATTCAAATCAGTTTGGGTACTGGTATAGCCATGAAGTTGTTGACATATATAGATATATCTATGATATATAGATATATATATCCACTATATGTCCACTATACAGATATATATATATATATATCCACTATATGTCCACTATACAGTTATACAACACACAAGTATACAAAACCATACAGAATATCATCTTTCTGATATTTAAACATCCAATTAGTATTATCTGGGAGAAGAGGATTACCTACTGGAAGAGGACTCTGGGAAGACTATTAACATGTTTGATGTTTGATCCTTGAACTGACTTTGATCATGTGCCCCAATATTTGAGCCTAAGGTTAATTTATGAGATGATTTAGACTATTATCTTCAATTCTTCATTTGACAGCCTTAAGATCAGTTCTCTTCTCATCAGTTTCTTCTTTTACCTAAGACCAAATTTCTCCCATTAACTGACCTCAAACATTTCCTAATAGGCTATAAACTTTTCAGGCAGGGATTAAATCCTTTTATCTTTTCAAGCCAAACACAGTATCTGGATTCTTCCCATGAATGTTGTGGGAGCTTAACCAATGACTTATTGGTTGAATTAATGAATTATAAATAAGACTGCTAGATAGCTTGTGTCTCATTGAGCTTCTAATTGTCTCTTCTGCAGCAGTAACTGGGAAATAGAATTTCCCAAGAGCTGTGCTTTATTTTAGTTAATGTTGTTTCAGACAAGGACTTTGTCAAGATGATATAAAAATTTGATCAAATGAAAACAGCAGTTTATTTATCTTTTACTAATAGCCCCACATAAAGTGTCATTTGTTAAATGGAGAAAAATTGAGAATGAAAGATTTTTCTCCAAGTATAATGAACAAGGCACAGTGTAGAGTTTTAAAATGATTCATACTTCATAAATAGGACTTGTCAGTTAGTGCATTCAGTTACTAGGCACTAAGAAATTTTAATTTGGAATAAGATTATAAAGTAGGTGTGCAAATCTGGAAGCAGGAAGAGACTAATAGTTTGAATAACTGAATGCTGATCTGTTCTCCTTTTGCCCTTTCTTCATTGAAGAACTAGGCCATTTCCCAAGTATATGAAATATGGCCTGTTCATGAATGAAACTTTTTGAGCTCCTGCATTAAATCATTTTTAGAACATTGAGAGTAAGAGTTATCAAATCATTGCTAAAGTGAAGCAAGTAATAATCTAGTAAGGATAAATCCATATTACTACAGGGCTCAATATAATAAATAGCTTATGTCCCTGGATAGGCTAATGCAGTGTTTAATCTTCATGGACCCTGCTAACTTGATTTGGGATCATATTCAAACAGTCCTACCACAAACACATTTGCTTTTGTGAAAATGAAAGAAATGTCCTAGATAGATAGATAGATAGATAGATAGATAGATGATTTCACAATTGGAATAATCCCAAGTCCAGGCCTGAAGAAACTGACAGGATGGATTTCTTTAAAAAAGAAAAAAAGAAGGAAAGAACATTGCTATTTACTAAGGATGTGACAATGGAAAAGGCACTTGGCTGCCTTGTACCTTGAAAAAAAGTTACTCATATTCTCTCCCTCTCTTTCATTCTCTTCCTCTCTCTCTCCCTTTCTGTCTCCCTCTCCTCTCTCTCTCCCTTCTTCTGGTCTCATTTGGTGACTCTCATATGTAAAGAGGGGGAGAAAGCATGGGAATGAGGGGATAAAGTTGGACAGCACCAGCTGTGAGATTTAATCAACAGCATCCAACTCCAGTTGACCTAAATGTTTTTAAGTCAGTGATTAGAGCATCTACATTCTGATACACATCATGCAAAATGAGTGCTTAAAGGAAATGCCACCTTGGTTCAGCATAGCTTTGCAGGATTGGGAAATAAAGAGGCCCAATCCTCAGTAGGAGCAAGCTAGTATATATTCACACACATGCCCAAATGTCAGAGCTCACATATTCATATAGTACTGGCAGTGCACACATTTCTACCCTTCCTTAGCAAACCCTCGGGTCTCCTGTTTGGTGCAGTAAATAAAACTAAGCAAACCTGGGTCTTCTACTAATGCTCAGGACGTGATCCAGATGTACCAGCCAATATGCATTCACCTAGCTTTTCCAAGCACCAAGATATAGGTGTCTGTGAGGATTTACATGTCAGAGGACATTTCCCAGTACTTTAGGGTTCAACAAGGACACCTGGTACATCCTTCTCAACCTTCACACATGCATAAAACTTGACACGTCTACATTAGGAATACCTCCCTTCCATTCAGTATTATACACATGTACTCTACAGCATTCTATTAAGTACTCAAAGTAATTCCATGTCTATATTTCACTGAACACTTTAATATATAAAGTAGGTCTTTTTCCTAACTTGTATTTTACACACTTTACTTAATGCTTATACTTTTTTAAACACTTCAGGGTTTTATAAATGGGATGTAACTGAATACTGTCCATATATTAATAATAAAGTCCAATTCATATTGCTTATCCATCCTCAAATAAGTTAGAAACATGTAGTCCCATGAATTTCTGAATAAAAAGCAATATTTGCTCCCTTTAAGGATTCAAGTTGAATTCAGGACATGATATGAGCTAGAAGGTAGAAAAGGCTTTCTTAGGTTAGCAGTGCCCCACAATCTTGAGGGAATTTCAACTCAATAAGGACTTTAAACACCCACAAATTGTAATCCCAAAGTACAATCATCTATTTTGTGCTAGAGTGGATTTGAAAGACTAGTTTATTTTTTTAATGTCTCTTTAAACTTATGTTGATATGATCAATTTCACTGTGATGTTTACATACTTTTATTTTATGTTCAGTCTTATTTTTAACTTTGTATTATGAGCATTCCAAACATAGCAAAATCAGGGAGAATAAGATAACAAATACAATAAACCATTGACTGGTTCCAACAGTTATTAATATTTTGCTACCTATGTCATTCCTCTCTTTTCCTTTGCCACACTTATTTTAAAATAAATTTTAAATATCATGTCAATCTAGTGATATTTAGCATTTCTAGTTTATAAGGCTTTTTTTACATAGCTACCAACCATGTCATACCTATATAATTAATAATACGATTAACAATTATTTTATCCATTAGTTCCTCATGTTCACATTTTCTGATTTTTCTCAAAAATAGAATTCATTTAAAGTTTTTATATATTTGGCTGCTTATATATCTTGGGCCTCTTATATAATTATAAATGTATTTTTCCTTCAGATTTGTTTCTGATTTATCAAGAAGATTTAAAAGGAAAATTGCTACAAAAATGAAGGCTTTTAGCCAGGTGCCAGTGGTTCATGCTTGTAATCCTAGCTACTCAGGAGGCTGAGATCAGAGGATCAGCCCGGGAAGGAAAGTCCATGAGACTCTTATCTCCAATAAACCACTAGAAAACCAGAAGTGGCGCTGTGGCTCAAGCGGTAGAGTACTCGTCTTGAGCTGAAAAGTGCAGACATAGTGTCCAAGCCCAGAGTTCAAGCCCCACCGCTGACAAAAAACAAAAACTGAAGGCCTTTGACTTTATCATTAAGCCACTAGTTTTTATGTTCTGTACATATCCAAATTCATACATATTTAATGGTGAAATATAAATGGTTTTCCTTTAATGATTCAAAACCAGTTATGGATTAGTTTGGATACTTAGGGTCAGAAATCTAATATAGAAATTTGTCCCCTATCCTATTTGACTTTATCTATAGTTATTTTAGTTTGTCTATATTCAATTCAATTGCATTTTCAAGCTACACTATGCTTTGGCTTAACCAAATGAAGGTCACTTTTATTAAGAATGCAAATTTTATAAATAATGAGACCTTTGCTTCAAGATTTTCTGTTTTGTCACATATTTTAGGATTTTGTTTTTATATAATATAATCAAACGCAACAATATTGTCTTAGCATTTGTATTTATATTTCCTATTACCAGTTAACATACCTAATTGGCTTATGCAGTTAATAGTATCCCCATTGAATTTAATCTGATATCTCAAAGGCATTGTCCTTTGTAAAAATAATTCAATCACATATATCTTTCTTTTATTGCTTATTTTTGCAACTCAACACGGGTAAGAAGACAGAAAAGAATTTCTGCTTGCCACTATAATTTTAACACTACCATCCTTGATTTAAATTGTGCAGTGCTGCTAAAATGCCTCAAGATTTTACCATTTCTTTTTATAAACTCTCAATCTTGTGATATCTTTCCTTTCTTAGGACATGAACGAGTCTGCCAAACAAGAAGATATTTTGGAATCTACAACAGATGCTGCAGAATGGAGTCTAGAAGTTGAACGTGTACTACCACAACTGAAAGTCACGATTAGGACTGACAATAAGGTATCAGAGAGGTAGCACATTTTATAAGACAATTTCAGGGTAGAGTACTCCAAATTATACAAATTGGAGAAAGGCAATAGGATTCAGTTTGCAGTGTTTTGTTGAATAGGGATTCAATAACTTACAAAAGAATAAATAGCATTGTACAGTCCAAGAAGTCCAAGTCTCTGAAATATTTCATGTACACCTTTTCCTGACTGTACCAACTGATTAGAGTTAGAAGATTATTTGAAATTTTGCTGGATGGCAAAATGTAAGGCATTCTGGAAGTTACATTCGATAATTCAGTTCCTATCATCAAAAGTTAAATATTAAGTACTCAAGAAATCACCGGGCACCACTGGCTCAGGCCTGTAATCCTCCTAGCTACTTATGAGGCTGAGATCTGAGAAGCATGGTCCAAAGCCAACATAGGCACAAAAGTCTATAACACTCTTATCTCCAATTAATCACCAAAAAGCCAGAAGTGGAGCTGTGGCCTAAGTATAGAGTGCCAACCTAGAGTAAAAAAGCTAAACAAACAAAAAAAAAATAGCACTGATTTCAAGCCCTACTTCCACCAAAAAAAAAAGAAAAATCATTTAATAAGACAAGAATTAAACCAAATAAGTCATCATTGCTACTTTTTTTTAATCCCTACAATTTTTTGACTAATTTTCTTTAGGGCAACTAAATACAGGTTTAGACAAGACTTTTCTCATTAGAAGCACCTAAGTAAAGAAACGAATGAAGTCTGGGCATAAGCCCTGAGAATTATGGAATGAGGTTGAAGGGGGCTCAGAGCTCTGAAAAGTGTAGGTGTGTGTTGCCCCCAAGGTGGAGACCCTACAAAGATCTCCTTTTTCAGTGTACTGGAAACCAGTTGATTGTTAGAATGTATCCCAGATTGGGAAGAAGTAGCCTAGATTCTTAGAAATCTGAGAACATCAAGAGGACAAGAGTTCTTATTAGACTGTGAACTGTTGTGAACAAACTCTGTCCAAGATGAGTGGAAGAATCCTGCAGCCTGTTCTCCATGTATTTCCCCAGTCATAATGGAAGACAGCTATTCTCTGACCATATTGCAGGTTATTTCCTTTCTTTGCATATATCTCATGTGTAAATGTCCATTAAAAAGAATGTCTACATTGATTACATCTCTGCTAGAAATCTTAATCTGTAAAAAAAAATATGGTTCATTTTTGCAAAATATTTCATTTCCAATGCTTTGGTTTTGTCAGAACAAATTATTTTCATAAAACTAAAAATCAGTATTATTGTGACTTTAGTTAGAATAACATGTTAAAATAATTGTGTCATTGGGAACAGTTTAATTCCAGAAGGAAGCAAGTGTAATTTGTTTACTTCCAAGTTAAAGAAACACTTAGTCAAGCTAAGTCAAACATCTCATTTAGAACATAATAGGATTTTTTTAAAAACAGTCATTGATTTCCACGTAATAGAAATAAAAAAACAGAGAATATAAATGTAGCTGCTTACATACTGTTTTGAAACCCTAAATACAAATCAATTCTAGACTTGACCAATATCCAATAATCAAAATTGTGGTTTGTGGAGGATTACCATTTTTTTTTATTTGGGGAAGAATTACTTAGTAAAATAATGATTAGATGCCTACTCTCTTGCTATACTGCCAACCCGAGACTTATACAAAATATACTATACCTATTAATTATATAATTAAGCTTAAATACAGCATTGCAAAATGTCAGATGAAGTTCTCCTTTTTCTATTTCTATTTTAGAATATTTGGATATTAAGTTAACTTCAGTTTTTGTGGTTAAAATGCAGTGATCTAAAGTCTTGACTGTTTCATCAGAATTTTTCTATAGGTCATTTGGTCTTTGTGTCTAGTATTTTATAAACTCTTATTTTGTCTAAGATTTTCAAATATACCAGATGGAAAACAGAGTGTTAGGGGTCAATTCCTTATTCAGCTTACCTAAGAAAAATAAAATGATATATTGGCTTGAGAAAATAAGCTCATGATTAAAGAAATGTTCCTTCTTTCTCAAAAAATAATGTGGTTACATATGAGGTTTCTTCTCACAGATGCACTATCTTCTTCCATCAGAACTGACTGCAGCATCATGGTAGATCCCATTGTTCCTTGACTCCCGACTCTTGTCAAAAACAGTTTCTTCCTTGACTTTTGGCCACTACCTGTAACCTTGCATTCAATACAGGGTATTTAAAACATTTAGCAATTTCACTTCATGTTTGATGGCAAACAAAAGAAATGGTTTTAAGAGCAATGTGTTCTACTGCTTACCTCTGGATTTCTTAAAGCTGTTTAGCGATTACGTAAGGTAACTAATAAAGGTTCTCATTATTTAAAATAAGGGCCTCTTTTCTTTCAAAGACCCATGCATTCATAGTAAATAAGTTGCATATTTATTTGGCTCTGGACCAAATATTTATTTTACTTTTTTTCTCATAAATTGTTTCTTCCTTTCTATGTTTCTCATCAGAGAATTACAAAAAAGGAAACTCCTTTTTGGTGTTTTCATATTTTATAATATATATTCTTCGATATGATTCTTTGAGATACTAATTTTTTGTATCATGTCCATAATATTGCAATCAGGTTTTTATTCCTAAACTTATTCCTGTTGTCTGGCATCATTTGCTACTGTTGCTAGTTTTCAAAGAATGCAAACTAATTTTAATATTAGCTTAAACAAAACAGAATTAGGAAAATGAATATGTTGCCAAAAATGCAAATAATGTGCTGCACAACTGAAGATAAAGGATTTCTGTTATGTGCTGATTTGAATGAACTATATTAGCAATTCTCTTTGTAGTGTGAGTTATAGAGAAGACCAATCCAGATCAGCCCCAAGTTTACAATAATCAAAGACACCAACAGAAATTCTGTCAAGAGAGTCAATGAATTCAGCCAGATCCTCCTGTTCATGCCACTCCATAGTGCCCTGCCCAATGAGTAAAGCTTAGGAATCAAATCCTTAAGTCAACTTTTAACAATCCAAGAGTATTGGTACATTATGACTCTACATTTAAAATTTTCCACCCCATCTCTCTCTTTATTTTCTCCCTCTCTTATCTCTTACTCTGTGATGTTTTTAGCCCTCACTCTTTACATGAGACAGTTGCTGTGGTGGATGGATTTAAAGCTCAAATGGAATAAATGAGTGATTATATTAGTTACATCTATAATTAATTGAGACTATTATAATCTGAGTCTTTTTTTTAGAAACTGAGGGAAAAACTGCACTAGGATTTGAAATGAGGGCTTACTTGTTTGGCTGGTACTCTACCACTTAAGCCACACCTCCAGCCCTGCTTTTACTGTTATTTTGAAGCCAGAATTTCTTAGATTTTTCTCCCTGGGCTGGCCTAAAACTGCCATCTTCTAGATCTCAGTCTCCTGCGTATCTAGGATTATAGGCATGAGCCACTGGCACCCAGCTTACTTCTGAGTCTTTTTAATGTTATTTGTGTTCAATTCTGAAAATAATATAGAAGCAGTGTTTCTGAGAAAAGGAAAGCAGTCAGTATTCTAGAAATCAGAAATTGCATATCACCCATTTAGTGTGATTTATTCTGACTTATTGAGCCGAAGTTTTAGAGGTCTGGTGGTACAGAAAACCAACAGAAGATAAGCATATCTCACATGCCTTCCCTTAGCCAGAATTGATTATTTTTACCAATTATTCATTGTATGATATAGGACAAGCTATTTTTTCTCTCCCTGAATCCTTGCCCTCACCTGTAAGATGGCTCTAATTAAATTTCTTCACAGGACTAAGAGCTGTATCTGATGCATAGTTAATATCTAATAAGAATTAATTATTGATAGATATCTCATTGTTATTTTCTTTTATGGTTTTTGATATTTGGTGCCTATATAAGTACTCGGGAACAATTTACAAAACTTCTGCAGTGGTACTCTCATCATTTAAGAAATTCTTAAAGCCAAGCACCAGTGGCTCATTCCTATAATCCTTGCTACTCAGGAGGCTAAATCTGAGGATTGGGGTTTGAAGCTAGCCCAGGAAGGAAAGTCTATGAGACTCTTATCACAGACTACCAAAATAGCCAGAATGGTGCTGCCTTGAGCAAAAGCAGCTCAGGTACAGCATCTAGGCCCTGAGTTCAAGCTCCAGGACTGGGGGGGGGGGGGGGGGGGGGAGGGAAGGAAGGAAGGAAGAAAGGAAGGAAGGAAGGAAGGAAGGAAGGAAGGGGAAGGAAGGAGAGAGAGAGAGAGAGAGAGAGAGAGATTCTTATAAACATTTGCTTTGCATTCTTACATTTATCTGAGGTTGAACTAAAGCAGAATCATACCATTCCATGTGATTAATTGGTTAGGAAGAAGTGTTTGGCTTTGTCTAAAGGTTGGCCATTTGTTGGCAGTACGTGTTGTCATCATTAAATGAAGTCTGTCAGAAATCAATTGCTACAGAGATTGTGGTTTGGTTTCCTGGACAGCTTGCTGCACATTGTGGGTCAGAATTCTGATTTTGTACATGACTTGGGATTATCTGTTGTCCATTGGTGGGCTCAGTCTCTGAACTTCATTCATTGATCCCAAAGCGAAGTGGCTTGGTAAATCAGCAGACCTGTTCATCTTTTTTTTTTTTTTTAATGTTTTTTATTGTAAAAATAGTGTACAGAGAGGTTACAGTTCCATGAGTAAGGTAATGAGTACAAGTCCTATGGAGCATTGTTACCTCCTCCTTTGTTTTTCCTCTACCATCTCTTCCCTCCCCACTCCCCAAATCCCCCTTCCTCCCCCACAAGTTGTAAAGTTCGTTTTCTACATAGTGTGTTGTACATCTCATTGTTACAATGGGTCAACCTGTATCCTTGTTTCAGCATTTTGTTATTTCCTTTCCCCTCCCCAAATTAGAAGAATGTATGTACAAGATCCAGGGCACCCACATCAAATACAGTGAAAACAGGTGGGAAGAACATACAAGAGAAACAAAAAAATAATCACATAGTACATTTTAGATACTTTAAAAACAATAGCAAGAAAG